CATTTAGGTTGTTTCCAGGCTCTGGCTATAACAAACAGCTGCTAAGAACATATTTGAGCACATGTCCTTGTGGCACAATTGAGCATCCTTTGGATATATACCCAAAAGTGGTATTACTGGGTCTTGAAGGAAGGTTGTTTCCTAATTTTCTGAGAAATCGCCACACTGACATCCAAAGGGGCTGTACCAGCTTGCATTCCCACCAGCAATGCAGAAGTGTTCCCTTTCCCTCAGAACCTCTCCAGCATAAGTTGTCAACAACGTTTTTGATTTTGGTCATTCTTACAGGTGTAAAATGAAATCTCAGAGTTGTTTTGATTTGCATTTCTCTGATGACTAAGGATGTTGAGCATTTCCTTAAGTGTCTTTCAGCCATTTTAGATTCCTCTGTTGAGAGTTCTCTGTTTAGGTCTGTACTCCATTTTTGTATTGGATTATGTGATCTTTTGATGTCCAATTTCTTGAGTTCTTTGTATATTTTGGAGATCAAACCTCTGTCTGATGTGGGGTTAGTGAAGATCTTTTCCCATTCTGTAGGCTGTCGTTTTGTCTTGTTGACCGTGTCCTTTGCTTTACAGAAGCTTTTCAGTTTCAGGAGGTCCCATTTATTAATTGTTTCTCTCAGTGTCTGTGCTGCTGGGATTCTATTTAGGAAGTGGTTCCCTGTGCCAGTGCATTCAAGTATACTTCCCACTTTCTCTTCTATAAGGTTCAGTGTGGCTGGCTTTATATTGAGGTCTTTGATCCATTTGGACTTGAGTTTTATGCATGGTGATAGATATGGGTCTATTTTCATTCTTCTACATGTTGATATCCAGTTATGCCAGCACCACTTGTTAAATATGCTTTCTTTTTTCCATTTGATATTTTTTGCTTCCTTGTCAAAGATCAGGTGTTCGAAGATGTGTGGATTGATATCCGGGTCTTCTATTCGGTTCCATTGGTCCTCCTGTCTGTTCTTATGCCAAGATTTATTTTTATGGGTATGTAGGTTTTGCCTACATGTATGTATGTGTACCACATGCATGCTTGGTACCCTCAGAGATCAGATCCCCTAGAAAGGGAGTTATGGATTGCTGTGCGCCACCAGTGAGTGGCTGGGCTGACCCTGGTTCTTCTGCAAGAGTGGCCAGTGCTCTTAACCGCTGAGCCATCTCTTCAATCCCCAAATACACTTGAAATGACTGTGATACTCTTACTATGCTTTAGACACTTCCTAAATGGAAGTGGAGATTCAGTGGGAAGGAGGAAAGATGTGGGGTTTTGTTGTTGTTTTTTGTTTTCATGAGACCTGCTGTCCTGTAAAAGAGTCAACTTTACAAAATAATTTTACAGCCCAGTAACTATTAATAGGTGTACACTGTCATAAAGGCACAAAAATATGTGGTTCCTACCTAATACAGTGTATTAGGTGTAGAGCACACACTTATGATCCCAGCACTGCAACACTTAGGAGGCTAAGGAAAGAGGACCCATGAGCTCAATGCCAGTCTCAAGATCCTGTCTCAAAAAAAAAAAAGAGGGAGAGAGTGTTGCAAGATGGCTTGGAGGGTAAAAGCACTTACTGTGCAATCCTAATTAGTTTGTTGCCTAGCACCCACATCCTCTGACCTCCACTCTCACAGGTGGCATGCTCACATCCACATTATACACATACAATAGCAAATGAATTTTTAAATGGTTGCATTCATCTTGGACAGGGAAGAAGAGAGGTATGGGGAGGTTGGGGTTAGAAAGACAACTAGATGTCCTAAGGGAGTTGACTAGAGAAGCAAAGAAGGAAGTACTCAGGGTGAAAGAGTTATTCTTTAGGAAGTTAAGACATGGGGGCTGGAGAGATGGCTCAGCGGTTAAGAGCACTGGCTGCCGCTGCAGAGGGCCTGAATTTAATTCCCAGCAACCACATGGTGGCAACAACCATCTGTAATGAGATCTAGTGCCCTCTTCTGGCTTGCAGGCATACATGCAGACAGAATACTGTATACATAATAAATAAATAAAATCTTTTTTTAAAAAAAAATGATTTCTACAGCAGGGTGACATCTTCAATCCCAGCACTTGGGAGGCAGAGGCAGTCAGATCTCTGTGAGTTTGAGGCCAGGCTGGTCTACAGAGTGAGTTCCAGGATAGCTAGGGCTACATATCTCGAGAAACCATATTCCAACCAGTAGGCAGAGAAACATTGGGGAGCCCAGCCACAACAGAAAGGTGAGAGGTGGAAATAGGGTAGGGCAGCTGAGAAGGGCGTCAGTCAGGAAACACAGAAAACTGGTTTGAAGCAGAGAAGGACATCCTGGAGAGAGAGGGACACAACTTACACATTATAAGTTTTATATAAGATATTAAACGTGTCATTTAACTTACACATGATATCCCTGGGGAAGAATCTAGTGCAGTAAGACTCTGCATTTAGCTTTCACTTAGCATGCTGTTTTCCCCAGGTAGTGAAATAGTCCTTGAAACAGTTCATGAATCCTAACAGTCCAGCACCAAAATGAGCCATGACTTGTTCTACTCAGCTGCTATATCTGGACCCTGTAGAAGAGTCTCGTCTCTCTGGTCACATCTACAGTCAGGACCGTTTTAGCTGCTTTGCTATAAATAGACTTAGGGCAGCAAGAATGCGAGCAGGAAAAACAGTTAGGCTGTCCCAGTAACTCGGGGTTAGAAGTGGCAGCTTCACTCACAGAGATTTTGAATGCAGACAGCAAGATTTGCTTGGAGAATAGATTCAGGATGAGAGACAAAGGGCAATAGATAACACTTGAGGTTTTAGACCTTGAATGACTGGAAGGATTGGATTGCCGTCAACCGAAGTTTGGAAGTCTGCGAAAGTCTGCAAGATTTAGAGAAATAATCTCCCCAGACTTTATGAGCTCCAGATACCTGGTAGACATCTGAGCAGGAATGTCAAGTCCACAATACACAAGTCACCAACTCATCAAACACCTAGATAGGAAATACAAACATAGGCATGTTAGGAATATGAGCAGTACCTTGAGAATTAAGTGGAACTGTTGAAGGTTTAAGGCCTCTCACTTTTTGGTGTAGGTGGTTGTTTGTAGATAGTTATCAATTACTTTATATTCATCCAGATTTTTATGTATAGTAATATAGTTAATATATAATTATATAGTACTGTGATATATAATTATATATTAATATAATTACCACCTTCAGTTCACTTGTTTTCAAAAGGGTTTATACTTTAATTTTGTTCATTTGTTTTTTTGAGATAAGGTCTCGCTGTGTAGTATTGGCTGACTTGGAACTCACTCTGTAGACCAAGCTGACTTGGAACTCACAGAGACCCACCTACTTCTGCCTCTTGAGTGCTGAGATTAAAGTGTGCAGCATCATGCTCAACTGTTCTTTTTTTAATTTTTTTTTAAATTTATGTTTTGTGTATAAGTTTTGCTTACATGCATGTCTGTTCACCAGATGGATGCCTGGTGCCCATGGAGGGCAGAAGAGAGTCTTGAATCCCCTGGAACGAGAGTTATGGGTAGTTGTGAGCAACCATGTGGGTGCTTGGAGTTGAACCAAGATCCTCTGAGAAAGCAGCCAATGCTCTTAGCTGCTGAGCCACCACCACCACTCCCCCTGCTTTAAAATACTGGTTTTGTTTTCCCAAGATTATATGGTTTTTGAGGAAAGCTCTATTTTTTATACACCATAACACCATGTTCCTAAGATATATTTACAATGTACATAGAATAAAATTAAATACCTAAATATAGAACTTTTTGTTTCTACTATTTTTTATAGAAGGTCAACTTTTGTTTTTTTTAAGACAGAGTCTCATTCTGTATTCCTGTCTAGCCTGGTCTCACTGTGTAGCCCAAGCTGGCCTTGAGCTTGTGATGATCACTACGCCCAGATTTCAATTTTCTTACAAATATTTCATTTAGGCATGTTGAAGTGTCCTGGGAAAATAAAGACAGAGGTAGAATTTTCAATCTATTGCAACTTGTGGTCAATTCAGTTCAGGTTGTCAGGTAAAAGAACCTTCTGCAACAACAAAAAAATCCCATGGCTCCTTCATATGGGCTTTATTCTCAGACTTCCTGAGGCACCAAGAAAGTTCTCGATAATTCAGTTTTGCACACACTCTGATCCCTGAGGAAAGAGATTCTCCTAGGAGCAGCCCCCCACCACCACCACCACAGTGTTCCTTTCTCACTGAGTGGGTTACTTTCCCTGTCTTTTCGGGCAGTGGTTCTCAACCTTTCTGAAACTGTAACCCTTTAATTAGGTTCCTCATGTTGTGGTGACCCCAATCATAAAATTATTTCATTGCTACTTCATAACTGTAACCACAATATTCTTCTTCAAGATAGACTGGCATGCACGTCTTTAATTCCAGAACTTGGGAGGCAGATCTCTGTGAGTTCGAGGCCAGCCTGGTCTACCGAGCTAGTTCTAGGATAGCCAATGCTACACAAGGAACCACTGTCTGGAAAATCAAAGAAAAGAAAAAAGAAAAAGTAAATGGATGGATGGTCAGAAACAATGCCTGCTATGCCGGTTACACAAAAGCCTGAACTTCCTTAAGCCTGGGATGTGGTGGCACATTTATAATCCCAACCCTGGGGAGGCTGAGGAAGATGGTGTTCAATTCAAAGCCAGCTTGTCTTGAAGAAGACTTTTGTGGTCTGATAGGCACTTGGTTCCCAGCTGGGGTGTGGTTTGAATAGGTTTTGGAATGTTAGAGAGAGAAGGTACGTAAGTGACTGACACGGGCTGCTGGGAGTCAGCCTTGAAGTTTCGGCTGAGCCCTGTTCTGCCTGATCCACCAGGATGAGAAGAGCCCACACCATACATATCCTCCACCACGAACTCTACCATCAGGGACTGGCGTCCCCGTAAAGTCAGAGAATTCCCTCCTCCCGTGTGTTTGTTCTGTCAAGTGTCTGATCACAGAAGTGAGAAACGTGAAGAAGGGAAAGGAGAAGAACTCTGTCCTGACACTCCCTCCGTGCCCTGTGCTCACTCACCAGGCTGTTAATGCGCTGTCACTGCAGTGTGTCACCAGAGAACTAAACACTGAGGCCTGACTGTAGAACTTAACCATCTGGACCGGTCAGTATTTCAGCACTTGGCTTTACAAAGCACTCCTACCTGGCCGTGCAGGTTGTTTCTTGTCTTCATAATTCTTTCCTATTGTCAGTTTGCAGGAAAGTATTCATTTGCTTTTCTTCAGTGCCCTGGGGACAGGGTGGCTGCTGGCTTAGAGGCCTGGGAAACAACCACACAAGACAGTGAATCAGCGAGGACGTTACCTGGTAGATAGAATCTTGAGACTGCATCTACAGAGATGTTCCTTCCCAGCTTTACTACATCCCCTTTATACTAGAAGCTATTTCCTCCATGTGGTATGTGACCCACTTCACGCCACGCCATTTTGTTGAAAATCTGCTGCGGATACCATCAACCATTATGTCCAACAACAGAGGAATAAACACAGAAAACATAGTTTACAGACATAAAGGAATCTTTTCTTAGCCATAAAGAGGAGTGAGGTTAGTCAGGCGGTGGTGGCAAGTCTTTAATCCTAGCACACAGGAGGCAGAGGCAGGCAGATCTCTATGAGTTCGAGGTTAGCATGGTCTACAGAGTGAATTCCAGGACAGACAGAGACACACAGAGAAACCCTATCTTGAAAAAACAAACAAAAAAATAAAAAACAAACAAACAAACAAAAAAATAAGCTATGCTACTTACAGGAAGTTATCTGCAACTGGTTGGAGGTTACATTAACCAGTTAAGCTAGGCCCAGAATGGCGTGTGTCATATTTTTTCTCTCATTTATGGTTTCTGAGTGTTTTTTAGTTACATGAAATCATGCATATGTAAATGAACATAGAAGTAAAATTATCAAGGGAACAAAGAGCACAAATGAGAGGGGTAGGGGCATGAAAAGGGAGAGACGGAGTAGGGAGGCTTGCTCAATGTGCAATGTATACCTCTCTGAAAAGTTGCCAAACTAAAGTTCAGAAAAAAACTTGCTGTAGAACACCTGCCGCTTTGGTACAAAGAGAATTGGAGACGTCTCTGGAATTGGAGATGCCCCCTCATTTCCTCTCTGTTCGAAGAAGTGCTTGGCAGTCAATGAGGAAGATGGGCATATTGTCAGGCTGAGGGAGTGAATGGTCTCATATGCTGCTGCTGGGCGCTTAGCAGAATAGTTGTCACTAACAGGTGTGTTGGAGGGAACTTCCACTCTGTGGTCCCACTCACCAGAATTGTAGAAACTGGGTTGGGTACTTAAAATGGGACATAATAATGAAACAGATGGAATGTAGCTATTAAATTTTCTATTACAGGAATGGCAGGATATATGTTTGGATGTACAAAGCTGTTTACTGAGCAGTGTATTCTACATAATTCAAGACACTTGGATATCAACCTTAATAAATGAAATTTCTGGGGATTGAGCCATCAGCAGTTGGTTAGGAGCTTAGACTACTTTTGTAGAGAACTCCAGTTTGGCTTCTAATAGCTGTGTGGGGCTCAAAACTATCTTCAGGGTCTCCAACACCATCTTTGGTCCCCAGTGATGCTGTGCTCATGTGCACTAAGACTTTCACACACTCATATGCATAATTAAAAATAAAATATTTAAGGAGTGAAGTTGCTGGTTATTTTAATTTTTGGTTTTTTTAATTATCCCAAAATGAAATATATTTTACCTATAGTCAGATAAATTCATTTTTAAGGAAAAATAATTATAATGATGATGCTGTGGTCTGAAGATTTCTGTCTGCTTAAAACTCAAAATTTAAAATCCTAAGCACCAACGAGATGCCATTTAGTCATAGAACCCTTAGAGGTGATCAGGTCATGGTGGCTAAGCCCTTATAAAAAATCCTAAGAGAGAGCTGTCGCCGAGTGAGACAACAGCTGGCTGCTGAGAAATGGGCCTTCTTAGCCAGACACCAACCCGGCGGGTGCACCGCTGTGAACTTCCCAGCTTCCAGAATTGTGAAAAATACATTTCTTTTGCTGATAAACTACCCAGTCTTTGGTGTTTTATTTCTGCAACTCAGACTCACAAAGTCAAGGCCCTGAGACGATTGGCACTGGGTTCATGTGTCTAAACGTCCTTTGCTGAGGAAAGGGGCCTTCCCTTTCTTCTGCAGACCCACTGAGCAGAGAGATGCACAGTATCCACCACCAAGTGTCACCTCTTGTGGATGGCCTGCATGTCACCAAGCAAGCCATCAAGGCAATCGTAGATGCAGCCTGGGTTGAACTGGGCCACAGTTATCAGGCCAGGTTTTATTAGATACAAAGACACCACGTGCAAACCCTGTAGGCGGCAATGCAGTTGATAAGGGTATTGTTTCTCAAGGGCAGAGCTTTGAAACTTTCTGGACTCAGCAGTGAAACCAGGCCCCCAGCTTCTACAACAGCTACTGTCATAAGGGTCAATCAACCAGTGTTGAGATCATGCTGATTTCTAGACATTCGGCAGCAGGGGAAGAAAGAGGAAAGCCTGGCACATGGAGCTTGAGGTAGCAGCCGGAGACATCCTCTGAGAGACACTGCTGTCTTCAGCTGGGCAAGCAGATTCACTCACTCCCCAGTTCTTGAATTGCATGACTGTATTTTATGGACGTAACTCTGGTTGAGAGATGTGGACCAGAGTACTCCTCCCTCCCTCCCCCTTATGTAATCTTGGGAAGTTCTCTTCTTTCAGTGACAGTAATCAGGCCTTCCTTCCAGGCCTTTTGTGAGGATCCTTAGACATAATGTATGGAACTATAATTTTTGTGAACTATCAAATGCTATACGAAGTTGAGACATCCTCATTACATCCAAATGACACTTCTTTTAATTGTATGTTACCAATAAATGTTCAATTAGTATATTATACATTTAGATAGCTGAGACACAATACAAAGAATTTTTTAATATAATTTTGTTTCTGCATTTTCCTAGGTTTCATAGGCATTTAAGGAATAAGAAAATCATGTCCATGGAGCTGCAGACATGGCTCAGCTGTCAGGAGTGCTTACTGTTCTTCCAAAGGACTAGGGTTCAGTGCCCAGCACCCACATCAGGCAGCTCCCGGAGCTCTAGTCCCAGGGATCTGACACCCCCTGACCTCTACTAGCACCTGCATGCAAGGGGCACACACACATAAAAGTAAGCGCACCTTTAGAAATAGAAAAGTAAGAAACTCATACTGGTTTGATGTTTTATAGGCATATCCTTGAATACACAGTCATTAGTTTAGGAGACATTAAGTTCTCTAGTCTCTGTAAACAGTGTCTTATACTCTCAGTGTTAAAAGCCAGTGTTTCTTCTGTATCATGAGCTGGGAGCTGAGAGCAGACGTCAGCATACTGTGGCCCGTGGGACAAATCTGGTCACCATCTATTTTTGTATGACCTGTAACGTAAGAATCATTTTGACATTATAAATTTTTAATCAAAATAAATGGACTGGGGACAGGCAGTGGTGGCTCATACCTTTAATCCCAGCACTCAGGAGGCAGAAGCAGGGGAATCTCTGTGAGTTTGAGGCCAGCCTGATTTACAGAGTGAGTTCCAGGACAGCCAGGACCACACACAGAAACCCTGTCTCGAAAAACAAGAAGGAAGAGAAGAAGAAATAAAAGGACTGGGAATGTAGCTCAGTGGTAAAGCCCTTGCCTAGCATTCATGAAGACCCTGGGTTCAATTCCCAGCACTACAAAGAATAAAATAAAGGATATTTCATAACACATGACAAATAGTAATTCAAATGTCAGTGTTCATTTTCATCCCAGCAGCATAATGACAAAAAAGGAATGGAATGTTTAAAATGGTAACCTTTTAGTTAACTTATTTATTTGGGAATTTTTTAATAAAAGATTTATTGATTTATTTGTATGTGTGTGAATCACATGGGTACAGGAGCAAAAGAGACTGTGGATCCTGGAGAGCGGAAGAGGATGTCAGCCCCCTAGGACTGGAGTCTCAGGTGATTATGAGCCACCCCATGGCTACTGGGGAGCAGAACCTGGGTCCTCTGCAAAAGCAGTAAGTGCTGGTAATTGCTGGGCACGCCAGCCCCTTGGATTGATTTTCTTGAGACAGGGTCTCACTGTATGTTCCAGGCTGGCCTTGAACTCATGTTCCTCCTGCCTCAACTTCCTGAATTCTAGGATTACAGTATTATAGATATGTACCTCCATGCCTTCTATTTGTGTGTAGGTATATGTAGGTATATACACATATATATGTGTGCATGTGAAAGCCAGAGGACAACCTTGGTGTTGCTCCTCAGGTGTCGTCCACAGATTTTGTAAGATAAGGTCTCTCTCTGACCTGGAACTCACCAGGTAGGCTAAGTTAGCCGACCAGCAAGCATCAGGCACCCAACCATCTCTGCCTCCCCAGCACTGCAGTTACAATTGCATGCCACCACACTGGTGGTACACGTTAGTGACTGAACTATCTCCCCAATCCACCGGTAGCATTTTTAATAGCACCAATAAACATTAGATTTAGAAGGATAAATGTAATAAAAACTTTTAGTTTTCCTAAATTATCTACATATTAGTGAACTCCTAAAGATTGGAGTGGGCCTAGAGCTGTAACCCGGGATCTCAGCTGCCGCTGGGAGTGTTGCCGGATAAAGGTCATGAGTACCCTTTCTACCAAATTGCCTTGTCCTCAAATGCTTGAAAACATATGTCCCCAACTGAGGCAGCCTCTAGACAGTGTTGGTGGATGTGGGTGGGGTACATTGTTGCCCCCACAGTGCCCAGCAGGTAGCTCTTGTCTAACTGCTTTCTCTGCAGGTCTCAGGGGCAAACAGGCTGGATCCAGGCTTGCTTGGCCATCTCCTGCTCTATGTTTCCCTTGCTCCCTTTCAGGCTGCCCCTTGAAGGCACTCTTAGTCACAAGCACCAGACTCTCTCTGTTCCAGGGGAGCTGTCCTAGGCTCCATAGAACCCTCCTGGCCAAGAGCCAGAGAGCCCAGGCACACCGACACAAAATCGCATTAGTGACGATACAACCATCCGCTCACGGTTTCTTTGCCGATCTGTGGTTGTTTGCATGTCTCACAGGTCTCATAAAAGGCCCTGAGCTTTCCAGTAATCCTCCTTTAAAAAAAAAAATTGAGTTAGTCCAAGTGTCTCTCCCTGAAAGCCATGTGACCTTAACCACAGCCATGGGTAATACAGGCCTGACCGACCAAGGCTTTGGAAATAAGACCCTCTGCTGAGCTATGCTCACATCAGTTAAGATCCTGAGACGGACAGCCTCAGTACCTGGACGTACTGCTGGGAACATCCCTGGCTTCTAATCCTCTAGGAACGTGCAGAGCTGGATTACTAATTTGATACCCAGGGCCATATTTCCCTGAGGCCTTTCTGCTCCCTGCACCCCACACCCAACACCCCACACCCACCCTGGAGGCTGGAAGAGCAACATTCCTTCCTCTGGATGTCATCCTCTTCCATCTCCCTGTTTCCAAGCCTCTAGCATCTCTGTGAGCTTTCTTGTCCCTAAAATGTGTTTTTCTGTACCACTTGTCTGCTCTCTGTGTGTGTATGCATGTGAATATATGCGTGGTCCATGGACTTTCATGTATGGAGAGTGGGAGGGGAGGTGGTGAGCAACTCAAGAGAGGTGTTCAAATATCCGATCACTGAACAGCGACCATGGAAAAGGGCGACACAATAGAAGCCTGGTTGGTTCCGCTCAGAGCTGCCAGCTGGTTCATCAGACAATCAACCCTCCTCACCCAAGCTGTTTTCTCCCAGCACTCAAAGGTGGATTTTTTTTCCCCCACAAGACAGGGTTTCCCTGTGTAACTTTGGTGTCAATCCTGGAACTCTCTGTAGACCAGGCTGGCTTCGAACTCACAGAGATCCACCTGCCTCTGCCTCCCAAGTTCTGGGATTAAAGGTATGCACCACCACCTACCTGGCCAAAGGTAGATTTTTATGGGGACTGCTAATTGTGCTTCCACTGCAGTTTTATGTTGCTTAGCACAAGAGAAGTTCTACCACAGCCAGCGTGGATGGAGCAGGACACCACCTCCAGTGAAGAGCTGGGAACCCGGGAAAGAACAGCTGTGGAGAGGATTTGAGAACAGTGTGACTGCAGAGGGTAGAGTGGACTCTTGAGTTGGCTCTTGTACATTTGAAATTTGGCTACATCGCTGCTTGACTGTGACCAATTTCCTTACCCTTATGTGGTCCCTGACTTGATTTAATATAGTGACTAGCACATAACAAACAATACAGGATAGATACTGTCATTGTTTTTCATCAATAATACTGTAACATTTTAGTCCAGTTAATGATCTATTATTAGGTTAGGGTTAGGGCTATTACCACTGAAGTGCAGATTCAAAGCCACAGACTAGTCCTGCATGTGCACACAGGCTCAACCAGAATACTGCAGTTCAGAGGTGTCCCAGAGCCCAGCCTACTGTTACATACTGAAAAACCTGAAACAAAGCCGGTAAACTCTACAAGAGATTAAGTGGCCTAAACTCCTGCCACTGTGTTGAGAGGGAAATGGTCTAAACCAGAGAGATAGGAAGGGGCAGGCACCCCAGTGAGTAGCAGAGCTGGGACCATAACCTAGGATGGCCTCCTGTCCTTGGAAACCAGACTTGTGACAGCC